TGGAAATAAATACATTATAATACATCGCGCTCTGCGCGTAAAATTGCAGCGAGCTATGATACGCTTTCCATTTAAAGCCGTCAATTACGACATGACGCCATTTTTCTCAGTTCTAACAAGCATAACGAAAATCCCTCTTGAAAATTTCAACACGACACTTCCCCTATTAAATCCGTATTTCTGTATATAGAATCGTAATCGTTTTAGACCATTATTTGGAGATAGAATATTCGTCGAGAAAATGTATATATGATAACAATGCAAACAGCTTTTAGTTTTCGAAAAAATGAAGCTTGAATGTTGAATAGATTATTAGACGGTCAGCGTTAGATAAAATGTCCGGAAAAATGTCCTTTACCGTAAAACTCTCCTCAAGAATTTCTCCAAGGATATTAAAATATGCCAAGGAATCGAGTCGTACACGTAAAAAGAAAACTGTACAAGATGCACTCGCAGTTTTTCGCGTTACGTGTTTGTCCGAATAATACATCGCAACACGAAATCTATGTATCACGTATTCAACCTTCTCTTTCGCGGCCAAATACATATATGACGTTTTATACGACTGTCCGATTCTCCCGTCGAGCCTCGATTGCACACGAAAGATCGAGAAAGCGGTGTCGAATTGACCTCTACGATTTCTCGTCCATAGAGTTTGGCAATGGTCGTTTCTTTAAGATTCCCAGATCTTGCACGTTCTCCAGGAAAGTCTTGTGATGTTGGGCGACCAGAAGTGGATTCACAGTCTGCACGTCCTTCTTAAGCTCCTCCATGTCCCTCTTGAGCTTCGCTCTTCTGTTTTGGAACCACGTGATCACTTGGGCATTGCTCAGACCCAGCTGAGCGGCAATCTCGTCCCTGTCGGCCGGGCTCAAGTACTTCTGATACAAAAATCTTTTCTCCAACTCGAAGATCTGCTGATTCGTGAACGCGGTCCGACTCTTGCGCTTCTTCTTCGGCTGTTGGCGATTGTTGAACAGGTTCAAGTGATTGGCTTGTTCTGCAACAGAACAAGATTAGACACGGTTAGTCATGTTTGTGTACTTATACACTTATCCTCAAACACACGCGCGTGCTAAATTGATTTGTCAAATATAT